TAGGCACTGGCTATTATTTGGTGTGAGTAATTGACTTCAAAGTGTGCCTCTTTTGTTTACATGTGCGGATTTTTTATGGAGGCTGCCTGTTTACCATGACGCAAAGGTTGGCGAGGGCGGAGGCAAAGAAGGGACCAAGAAAAAAAGAATTCCAGGGCGATCCGATCACGGGTAACCTTGGGCTTCAGGTCGGCATCGATCAGGAATTTTGCCGGTGGAGGGGCTGCCTCGATTGCGCTAGACTCGGGGCGGGGACAGACGCAGTTGAGGGCAGCACATAAAAAGTCGCGTCTCCCTGGCCGCCATCAAACCCGTGCTAAATCGCCCAGCTCGGCTAGCAGCTGGACCCTTCGCAGACCTGCTCTCCTCTCCTCTCGTCGCCCGTGCTAATCCTGCACGGCAGCCGATTAATGTCTGCGTCTGCCACCCCTCCTCGGTTCCTCACATCACATCCACGAAACAAGTTAGACCAGACACGTCCAAATAACGGCCCGTCATCCCACGCAACAGACGCCCGCCCGGGTCGAACGCAGCAGGCTGCCGGGGGTTCGGCGGCGACGGCCCCAGAAGCATGTCTCCCTTCCGTCAATTGCTGCCCGCAGCCCCGCCCGCAAACGATGGCGACTCGTCCTCGTCCAGCGCCACGACGCCCTCGTCGACCGGCCCGTCCCAGAAGCCGCCCGGGAAGAACAGGGCCGACGTTGCCTGCACGCCATGCCGCAAGCGGCGAAGCAAGGTATGCGGCACCCGCCCGGCGTCTGGTGCCATGGTGCCATGATGCATGATCCCCCTCCCCTTGGGCTTTCATATGGGCTGACGAACCGCTGTCATCCCCCGCGCCGGGCTGCCTCGCGCTCGGCGCGTGTGCGTACTCGGCACACCCCAGGCGGGAGGGGGCGCGGGCGGCCGTTTGTTATACACCCCCCATCCATATAGTGCAACGGGGCACGACCAGTCTGCCTGCGATGCGCACAGTCGGGCCTGGAATGCGAGTACGAGGTGCCCCAGGCCGAGGCCATGAAGCGGAAGCTCGACGACCTCGAGGAGGCCAACAAGCAGCTCGTCCTGTCCGAGGAGCGCCTCCGCCAGCGCGCGTCGGCCTACGAGGAGCTGATCGAGATACTGCGCACGCGGCCCGAGCACGAGGTTAGCCCCATCGTCTCCCGCATCCGCTCGGGTGAGCAGGCCGTGTCCGTCGTCCGGCTCGTCAAGGATGGCGACCTGCTGCTGCAGCTCCGCCTGGACCCGGCCGCCGCTCCGTTCTGCTTCCAGTTCCCGCTCGTCTCCGCGATGCCGTCCTTCCTGCTCGACCTCAAGACCAACCCCTATATCAACTCCATCCTCTACCACCAGACGCTTGGTGAGGAGGGTCAACGGATCGACTGTGCCCAGGGTACCCAGGGTACAGAATCGGGATCAGCCACACCCGAGTCGTCCGAGGGCCGCCCATCAGCCACAACCCCCACAGACGACACTTTGAGGATGTACCAAGTGCCATTTCATGCCGGGAAACTCGCCGAGCCACGACTGGACCTTGTCAAAGCCTCCAGATGGACGTCGGTCACATCCTCAGACACTTTGGTGCGGGACCTGCTCGAGCTCTACTTTGTCCATGAGTTCACCTCGTGCTGCGTGTTCCACATGGACCATTTTCTCAACGACATGGTCTCGGGCCGCGAACGGTACTGCTCGTCGTTGCTCGTCAATGCCATCCTGGCTCTCGCTTGTGTATGTTTAGTTCAGCCCCTTTTTGTCTTCAATTGCCCCGCCGCCTACCCCGTCCGTGTGGTCTCTTGGGCCTCGCTAACCACTTTTACCCCGCGCACAGCACGGACACAAAGGGCTGGATAACAGAGCACATTTCTGGAACCCAAAAAGTCTGTATTACCAGTTCATGGCCGAGTTCAAGAGGCTATGGGAGCTGGAGTCGAGCGAGCACCGTATCACGACCGTCCAAGCAGGCGTTATAATCTGTGTCTCACACAATGTGGACGGCCTTGACAAGGTCGGCACATCGTTTCTTGCCCAGGCGGTGACTATGGGCCGTGAAATGGGGATTTTCAGCGCTGCAGGATACGCGTCGCTGAACCCGAAGCGCAAGGCCGTCTATACAGTAACGGCACAAGGCATCTACGCCTGGGAAAGGTGTGTACTATTCCCCGCCCCAAGTGATGAGGTGACCGATGTGAGGCGCGGCTCTCGACGAGTCCAAAGTTAAGACCTCTGACCACATCAGTTCCCGTTTGCTAACTGCATGGGCGATCCTCTGCCCCACGACCAATTTAGCATCCAGAGTTTCTGCTTCTTACGCTGCCCTTTTGTCACGACGCGGCCCCTTCCCTTTCCGCCACTGGACGAGGTCCACTACTCTAAATACGCCGGTGAGCTGTGGCTGCAGTTTCCCGGTGCGCAACACCCGGTGCCCTGCCACCATGGGTTGTCCTTCCGGTATATTGTCGCCTTTCGGCAGATAATGTGCGACGTCGCAGATCGGGTATACGGACAAGGGAAAAGCCCGCGCCCTTTGTCCTTCCTCGAGAGCATGGGCTACCGAAAGAGGTTACTCTATTGGTTCGACCACCTCCCGCCTCCGCTTCGGCCGGACAGGGTCGTTACGCCAACGGACCTGAAACTGCATCTGCACTACTACAACCTCATGACTTTGCTGTTTGAGCCGTTCGTCGCCATTCCGCTGGAGAGTCTTGGCGGGCACATGGCAGGGGGCGAGGCCTCACCGGCGGCTGTCGTCTCCCATTCCAACATGTGTTATGAAACCGTCTTTCGGTTCTTCTATCTCCGGCACGGATTCGACCTTTGGGACTCGTGCCTGATACACTACTCGACAATTGCTTCTTTCTCCGCTATATCACGTTTGCAGGCCATGCAGCGGCCGGAACTCACCACAAATCAGCGTCAAAGCGCTACTTTCCACGGAGTTGACCGCCGATCACGCGACGAAGCGCTGTCGAGCCTCATACTCTGTACGCAAGGACTGCGCGACCATGCCCGATATAGCCTGCTGAGCGAATTCATCTTCAGGCTCCTTCGGGGCTCCTTGACGACAGGCGAGCTCAGTTTGCTCCGCGACCACGGCGTCGACTTGGAGCCACGCGAAGGCGAACGGATGCTGGCCACCTACGTCAGATCTCTCTACCCTGTGGGCATGGTCGGCGTGGCCGACGACCCACAGGGAAAGAGAATGGATACGATGATTCAGTCTTATAGACGTCTCGAGGTCTCTTCCCAGGACGACCCTCCGTCGCCGACAAGCCTCTCGATCGGGAGACTGCAGCCCAACGAGGCATCGGGCACGGGTTTAGCCGAGGACAGGGGCGGGCCGGAACCCCTGTCCTTTCAGGTGTGATGCTCGTCGGCACCCTTTTCGTCATAACCGCGCCTGGTACGTCGGGAATAGCCATTTATGACCCATTTCTGTCCGGATTCTTTCGGCTTGTGCAAGATGACCATCTATCGGACCACCCCAGTCAAGCCGTTGCACATAGATGTCACCGGCCCATCGGCATGATTTGGTTTGGACGATAAACATGCGCGATGGAGACATGCTTTGTCATGTTGGAGCGGATATCGGGATGAGTGTGTGATCAACTAGTCTGTTGAAGCATCACCCAAGTAATCTGCGTAGGTACTAACGGGAGAAACAGAGAGGAGAGCTGATTGAAGACTTGGCTTGGGAACCGGAACATTGTGAAGAAATATGTTGAAGCGGAGATGACAAGATATGAAGAAGAAGAATGCTAGAGAGGCCAGGAAATTCCGTTTCGACTGCCGTCCGGGTTAGACCACCCCGTTCCGCCTCTTTGCCTCGCGCCCGATCCATTACGACAAATCAAGCGCGGCCACCTTGTCAAATGAGCACAGCTCGGTCTTCTTGAGCACCGTGTCGGCCAGTGAAGAGAAGGACCCGCTGCTGAGCAGGTCGAGGATCTGCAGGACGGAGCCGAACTCGCGGGTGATCCAGTTGCGGATCTCGATGGACACGAGAGAGTCGAGGCCGTAGAAGACGGTCCCCTTGCTGGGGTCGAGCTCCTCGCGGGGCAGCATGAGCACGCCCGCCGTCTTGTCCAGAAGCGCGTCGATGACGATCCTATGCGCGTCCTCGTACGAGCCGGCCCGCCTGAGCGCCGCCCCCGGCGAGATGGCGGACGCGGCGGCCCGACCCCGCCGCCGCCGCC